AGAGAGAGAGAGAGAGTGGTATGGAGGGAGGGAGGAGGTGCAGTGCGAATTAGAAAAAAAAAATAGAAAAAAAAAATAATTTCAAAACCAATTCGAGCGAACAAACTACACATGTACAAAAGTAGCACCTTGGAAAAACTGTCGGTGGACATATCATATGTATGGAGAACGAACTGGCCGCTGACTGCTGTCTTTATGTTCTGTGTTGCTTGTGCTAAGGTGGTTTGTTTAGTAGGGTTGGAAATATCGCCAGCAAATGGAGGGGCATCCAGAATCTCAAACTCCAGAACAACGTCGTTTGCGTCGAAGTACAACTAGAGTCAAGTTAAACATGAAACAGGGCTTATTATTCACAGTGTGGTCAGTCGCTACCTTAGAATTACAAAATTATATCTGATATTTGTGGCCGTTTTGAGTTACTAAAATCATAAGGTCAGATAGGAAATGTTTTATCTGCTCTATAAAAATCGTAAGAATACAAGGAGTCGCTATATAGATATTATAAGAATTGTATTCGAATAAGCTTCTTTTCTTTCTTGTCGTACTGTGAAACTCAAACATTTGATATTAAATTTATCAAAACTGGGCACTGAGCAGAGAGAATTTAGTAATTCTAAGGTAACGTAGTATCCAAATATTTCTACAGTTTATCAGGTAATACAGTATATTAAGTAAGTACATGTATTCATGGTTGGGCATCCCCCTTGCGTGATCTCAAAATATGTACCTGTATTGTCCTATAATCTTAGAAAGCCCTGTCCTTACCACGCGTGACTCTCAGCGTTACAACTTCTGATATGCTTGCCCGTTTCATTCAAATGTTATTTTTCTATCACTTGGGCAGCTTAGTGAGTGTAAAATAAGATCAATTTGACAAGGATACATATATACAATGTCCTGCAAAGACTGGACGAGGACCGAACTCAAAATTTTCTTTGACATAAATTGAAATCCCTTCAAACTTAAGTAGGACGCACTGATTCTCTTGTTAGAATTGATACACGTGGAACGGTTTATATAAAAAGTCCATATTGATTATTTTGATATGGGCAAATGTCGTATAGTTTCAGTTTTCATTTTTACTGTGTGTATGTAAACGTATGTATACATACAAAAGTATGGATGTACGCTACACACACACACACACACACACACACACACACG